GAAGGAAAGAAATTCTTGGTGTTAAGATGTGTTAAAACAAGCAGAACACCGGCTTGTCACTAAATTTATCCATTTCCTTACATTTTGTCAGCTGACTGGTCACATGAGCTCTTGCCGGGAGCACAACCAAGCAGGGGAGCAAACCGTATTGTATTCTGCTTGCTGCCATCAGAAACAGACTGATTTCTGTCTTCAAGGTCTTCTTGACTCTGTTAAAAATGGTCTGTGCGAAGCACAAAGAACACGAGTAGTAGTTTTCATATTGAGGAATGCACTCCAAAAGCTGCAAGTGGCAGACACACATCTTCTTTGGCCGTGCATTTGGACAGCCATGAGAGCACAGTCAGTGCGAGAGCACTGGGGTCCAAGGTGAAAAACCAGTTCAGCTGGGCACTCCCAGCTTCAAGATTGGCTTTTTTGCACTCGTGAAGCTTTTCAAACTCCACATAGCTGCACATAGGGGCTGCTTATGTCCAGCAGACACAGAGTGTCTTTAAGCCCTCAGCTCAACTAATATTTCCTCATTACCAACTTTCTAAGATGCCATAAAACTTCTGAACTTACACTAGAACAGAATCTCTGCTGTGACGCTTTGCAGCGCAGTTATCTGCCAGAAAAATCCTGACAAACGCAGATGAAATCCAGTTCTCGGTACACGGCTCAGTTCCTGTGCTACCACCTTACAGGAAGGTTGACTAAAGCATAAATGTAAGACCAAGATGAGACTTTACAAATGCTTCCTTATCAAAATATTTCTAAGAAAAGGCGCAGCACAACTTTCTCCAACAGATGATTGATGTTTGAACCAACAGAAACAAGCCTCCCTGGCAACCTCTCATGTCTCTGCACATGGCCAGGAAGCTTCTAGTTTCATGTCCTGTTTCTGAGGCGGTGTTTCAACTTATCTACGGACAGGGGAAGAAAGAAATCACTTTGTATTCCGCCACATGTACAGCGGCTGCCCTGAATTCTTGGCAGGGCCACTCTAGCTGGCCCCAGACCACAGCAAGAGACAGAAAGCCATCCCAACTCACTGGATCAGAATGAATGAAAAAAGAAAAACCGAGCAACAAGGACATCTGGGCTATGGCACGGAGGTGGAATCCACTCTTACATGCGGGTTCTGTAAGAACTTTTGGCTAAAGCTTTGCCTCCTGTGGTATTGCCTACCAAGCCATTATCTTAAAAAACGAAGGGGAGAAGGAATGAAGAAAGTGATGTCAGTGACAGCGAACGGGTGCAAGAAATCCGTGGGTCATTAGATAGCTAACGTTCACACCAGGGTAACAAGCTGGAAAGAGTACTTCAACAGAGAAGCATCCTGCTCAGCTTGTTCACAGGAGCAGGGCTGACAGGTCTGCCTTACATGGCAACAGGTACCGGCTGGGTGACAACTGGTATTGGTTAAAAGAAAGTCTAAACCTGCAAATTGGAATGGAGGAGGTTTTGCTCACTTTGCATCCTGTGTATACTGTTACATTTGTGCAAGGCACTAGAGAATCAGGCACATTGTTTTGGGTGGAAACCATTTATGACTAAGCTGATCTGAGTTTGTAACGTCCAGTAGCTTCGGATGGGAGCAGCTGCAGCACAGTCACAAACTATCATTAAAATTTCCCACTTCCTTTTCCAGCTCTTTTGGGGTAAATGGGGAAGTGGGAAATTGCTTTGTTATAGCAGGACAACTCCTGAAGAAAAATATCTGGGATCTATACAGTTGATCTCCACTCTGATGCTGATGTAGGCAATTTCTGTCACCAGCATCGATACTAATAAGTGGTTAAACTCAATAAAATAGACCCTTCCATTTTTGTATCTGGGGGGGAAGTTCTGGCTTTTGACATAAATGAACCCGCGTCTAAATCCCTGTGGCACACAGATGTGGCACGATACGTTCCGGCCGTTCTTTCTGACTTCTCTGGGAGGTCAGACAATGACCTATCTCTGACAGAGAAACCAAAAATAGGGGACGTGGCCCGTACAGATGATGGTAAACGACCACAGGGTTCAGGCCAGCTCTTCCTTGGGAAAACAAAGCAATCGGACTGTTTTGGAGAGGCCGGTGCAGAAGTGTGAGACAGGTCGGATGCCAAAGAGACAGCGACGCAGCTTAAAGCAACACAGAAGCAAGAGACTGAAAAAGGGAAGAGGTTATTCTAGATCACGCTCGGTACTGCCAGCACAGGACAGGCTTTGCTGACATTCCTGTTCTTGCTGGCTGTGTCAGGAGGGCGAACAGGATCTCGGCAGGCGCCGAAGCGCTCATGCCACGTGACGGAATCCGAGTTCAAAGCACGAAGTGATGGGTGGTGAATGCTTCGTGCAGGTCCAGACAGCCGTGCCGCCTTGCTCACGCTGGCCGTGGTTGAGACACGGTAACTCAAGGAGTGCCTGCTTTTGAATCAAAATGCCACAGCCAGAAGATGCAAAACTGATTTAATACAAACTGCTGATTAAAGGTTGAGTAAAAATACTGGTAATTTAGCTTTGTCCTGGCAGGATTTCTCTCCTGTTTTGTTAACACCAACCTTCTATCCTGGTTTTGATGATTTGTGGCTTTTGTGCCTGTATGCGATCCATATCAAATTTGTAGCAGAGGGCAATCTGGTCTGGCAACAAAACCATTCTTCTGCGCAGAAATTTATAAAGAATAATCTTATTACAATAATTCGTAAAGTGCCCTCAGGAAAGGTGCTCACAATGCCATGACATTATAGAAACAATATACAACCTGATACAATATTTTCAAGAAGATCCTCCAAAGCAAAAAGGGAAAATATAAAAGGAGGGGAACACCAAATACACAGGCAAATACTGTCAGTCTAACAATGGTCAAATTAATTACAGAATGCTTGTAAAAATCATGGGGCAAATTGGCAGGAGTATCTTGGAAAAGTCCCAAATTTTATGAGTTCTACCAAAGTAAATACACCATCAGCAAGCTCAGTGTTTGAAGATGAAACGACTATGAATCACTACGAGGTATTTTACCAAGGAAATTGAAAAAATACAACATCCAAAGAAAACCCATGAGCCACATTTTACTAAGAGGAAAGATGGTAATACAGTGGCTATGTATATCCACTGACCTTTAGTGTCTTGGTTTTCATATTTATAAAGAAAACAATCTTTCTCCTCCCTGTTGATCCCAGGTTTTATATATATATAAAACTATATATGTCAATACTCATACACACACGTATGTGTGTTTGTATTTCAGGGTCCTACTAGATTCCAGAGTCTGTTTTTCTTTCTTTTTTTTTTTTTTTTAATGACTTTGAGAACACAATTGGGCAAAACAATCAAGTCATTGCATGCACGCAAGCGTACCTTGCCACTTGTGCATCCAAATTACACAATTTGTAAACAACTGCAGAAATAACACGCTCAAATTAGGCATCTGATTGCCCAATTAACTTATTTGAAGTAAATCAGATGGTAACTTTCAGTAACTCCTACTATAAATTTTACTTCTCAGTGCTACTTTATTGAATTCATGGTGTATATTCTGAACAACTGCACTGTTATTTTGTGCTTTTACACAGACACAAGTAGTGATGCACGCTTAATAAAGCTATCAAGTGAACTTTGGACCAGATTTTAGAAAGCTGTTTAGACATTTAGAGTCCCCTTATTTCAGTGAGAACGAGTCGGCTTAGACAACAGACTAAAAAAAAAAAAAAAAAAAAAAAGAAAAAGGTCTGGTCTAATTTCAAATGGTATGAAAAAAAAAACCAACCCAGGAATTTGTGGGCCTCCACGCCTCTATTAATAGGCAAAATTTTGCTTCTGTGTCTTTCTTTATTTTTTTTAAGGTTGTCTTGTTTTCTTTAGCAGGCAAGTATTGTTTAACCATATACATTCATAGCCTAGTAAATCCTTACTTTATTTTTGCATTGAAAGAATTGTAATTTGATACAAGTTGAGAGAGAACCCCAGCTTGCTGCATTTTGGTGTACACGGTCTAATGGACAGAGAAACTGAAGTACCCAAATCTATCCAAGTACTGCAAGCAGAGAAACTTATGAATTCGTACATCAACATGAACTGAGAAATGGAGTTTTACCAGAAATACATGGCTCCTTTGCTGTGGTACTTCTTTTTCTGAGATGATGTTGTGCAAAGGGGGGTAGTTTCTTTTTTCTACCAATTTTTTGCATCAAATAAATCCTGGCCACTTTAAGGGGGGGGGGGGCAGGGGGGAAAGCTGAGCAAACCATTGTCTTAACAACAATCTCTCAAAGAGAAAAGGAAGCAAGAGCAGAACTGCTGGGCTGAATCGTGTCCCTGAATAGCTATTACATAGATTCCTAGTGGCTGCGTTTACCAGTTCTCCTGCAGCAACAGACGTGCTGGTCCAACTGCTCATCCTCCCTCAGGAACGGGAGAGTAGTAAGAAAAGCTACTGGACCCTCATTGTCGTCTTCTTCAAGCGTCGCTGGGTTTCTTCCCTCAGCTTCTGGTTGTGACAGTATCTCCTGGTGACTTTCCACTCCTGCTTTTCTTCCTCCAGAGGATTACAATCCAATTTGGTTCTTAAATTACTTGGTTCCACTCCACTGGTCTGTGCCTGGTTTAAAGATCTTCCAGGAGGACTGCTTGTCCAATGCAGACTTTACTTCTCTCCTATAAACAAACAAATGAAAATCCCAACTCCTCCCCACATTCCCTTTCCAAAAATATAATATAATCATGATCATTCGTATCAGGAGAATCATTTAGCAGTCTCTAGTCTTAGTACAGCTTTTGTTGAGAAAACTGTAGCTTATACGACTCTGAAGTGTTTATTAGAAAGCTTTCAAAAAGAGATCTTCGTTTCAGGAAAAGAAAAATTGTTCAGTTTAGCAAATACAGACGTTCACAGCACAGAGACTGAAATGGTTAAAAATGATCCTAAGGAGCAAGTAGCTCACAGAGTTAGCAAAAAAATTAACTTTTTCCTTTCTTTTACAGAAAAACACTAATAGCTGCTCTGGTTTCCATACTTAGTAAGACAGAACTTTGTTGTATCTTCTTGGCTTTGCTTTTTTTTTTATTTTTTTTTTTTTCTCTATTGCTCCACACAGGTTTTGATTAGTGCTTCTCCTTGGCTACAAGTGCTTCACTTTGAAATACAAAGCTCTTTAAAAAAAATAACCAAAACAAAACACCCCAAAAAACCAAAACCCCCAACACCACGTCACTGGAGGGAAAATGGGAAGCGATACAGTGCAGCTGCAGCAGTCTGGTTCTTCTGTTGTCCTCCCCCATCCCCAAATCCTCTGCATAATTCCAATCTTTAATCGATGAACCTTTGGCAGGCCTTCTTCCACCGGCAGGCAGTACACCACATATCTCTGTTCTCCATCCCATAGACCTTCCGACACTTTTTCCCCTCCCCTCTAGGCTTCCTGTCAGAGAGAAAGGGAAGCTTGTTAAGGAGGTGCTTTCAGAGCTTTGCTTTATCACCCTAAGATCAGGACAACAACCTCAAGGGACTGCAGCAGGCAGAGAACCCCTGGCGTTTCAAAGGGGTTTGGGTTGGTTTTGAGTCAGCTGGGAGCTGACGAAGCAGACAGACATATACGGCCGTGACTCCACAGCTACAAGGGACCAGTCCTTCTCCTTGCCTGGCTTCTACAGCCTCTGCAGCAGCTGCTGAGCCTGCTCCTCTGCTCCGGGGATGATCCTGGGAACATACAGCCCTGACTTCGGCCAGCGACTAAACCTGGTCTAGATAAATGGTACTTCAGCCACGTCGAGTGATAAGCCGTAAGGGACAGTCACAGCTGCTCTACAGCGGGGTCCAGGTCACATCAGGCAGAAGTGCTCTCTGCTGCAGAGCCAGGGCACAAGTATTTTGCATAGCTCTGAGCAGCAGACCGTGACTACCAGCAGGTAGCAGCTATGCAAAAGAGGGGAAAAGCTACCAGCTCCTCAGCTGGCCAGTCTGTCCTGCACCGCTTGCTCTGAGCTCACTGAATGAAAAACAACAAAGCGACTGGAAACAAGTTTTAACCCTCGCCCTCCTTTGCAGCACGTTCACGTGTGCTCCTTCTTCAGCTCCTTCAGTCAGCAAGGCAGGCAGTGCCTGCTTTTAAAGCTCTAACGGTTGTTGTGTTTGCCATCTTACAACCACACTCAGAAGTTCACAAGTTTAGAAAAATGATCAAAGGAACTGTTAAAATGAACTTTCTTGATTCCACACATAGCAAGCCAGCAAACCTGAGGAGCAATGCTGCAAGTAACCCAACGCTCGCTACAGCAGTGCCATCCGTCCTGGCGCCTTTAAATCAAATAACCGGGCAGAGGGAATCGTTAATCCCCTCATTACACAGGAACTGCCCGGTGGCTCCTCTCTTGCACACCTGTATGTTTTTTGATTGCTGAACATTCACTAACGGGCACAAGCCATGAATTGGGAAGATTCTAAGTTTGGTTTGCAGCATATGCAATGATCATGAAGAAAACGAAAAGCATGAAACCTTCCTTTTGTCCCCTTTTAGGGAAAGGTCACCTTGAGGACTGTGAGAAATAAGGAGTATCTTTACTGTAAGAAATTCAGCGTCACAGTGTTTTGAACGCTTTTAAAGCGGACTGGTCAAAGATCAGTTAGCTTTGACAGAAGTGAATGCAGCTTATGTCTGGGAAGACAAGGTATAAAAAGCTTTGCTTTGATCTAATTTATTGTAAGATATGATTTCTTACAATTCAATTGAAGCAAAATACCATACCGACTGAATGGTGATGAACACACAAGACAGCCCAGGCTTTCAGGGAAAACACTGAAGCCAGGTAATGCAGTTCAGGATGCTTCACCCGGAGCAGTGAATCTGGGCAGCATTGGTTCACAGGGCAATTTAGATCCGCACCTGACCTCCAGACACGCCTGGCATAAGGCCTGCAGTTTGGCTTCACAGTCTGCCTTTTTCATTTCACAACAACTCGTTTTTCCCCCAGACTTCACCTTTGATGGTAATGAAAAGCAAAATGGGTCCAGCACGCTTCCTCTGAGGCGTACTAGTAAGAAACTGCCTGACAACTGCAATCGCGGTTGGCGGCGTGGTTTTTCTGTTTCTTTGGCCACTGACAACTTATTTACTAAATGCCCTCCAGGTTCTGAGGCTGCTGGTGTGTCAGCAGGAGCTAATGGTCCCGTACCTCAAGCCAAATGCTACTCTAGGCGGTGATGAAAGAACTGTGTGGGACTGTTTCTGCTCTCCACTCCCTGCAGGACGATTATGAGTTGGTGAAACCTGTCAATACAGACAAAAAAGCTGCTTATGAAGAACATACACATATGAAGGCAGTATAAACACTTTTCCCAGAAAATGCAATTCATGATGCACAGTGGCAAGGACACCCAGGAAAGGTTATCACATAACATCAAATATAAGTAAGCCGCAGGTCTATTTACAAAGACTGACCATTTAGCATTAGGTACATTGTATTAGCTCTATTATGTTTCCCTGTACATCCAGTCATCCAAACAGAGCAAACCACCACACAGATCAGCATCGTTGCAGGTTTTGGGAAATACAGAAAATGCATTCATTCTGACTGAAGAACTCTGAAGAGGTCTTAGGAAAACTTTCTGCAATTTAAGCAGACAAAATAACTGGAAAAACCAACCCCGGGCTGTGCTGAGATCAATACCAATAACCCCCTCTGAAATAAAGGGATTTCATAAGTCGCTCTCATCTGTGACTTGGCACTCTATGTAGAGACAGCCTTGGAGAAGAGGGTTTGCTGCAGGGCCGTTACGGTGCAGCCCCCAGGGTTTTACTGGGAGCGCAAGGCAGGCCTTCTGACCGAGGCTGCTGGCAAGACGTACTGGATCATTTCCTCTGTCCTGCCCTGTGAACCTTCTCAGCAGGTGTCCTCCTTTGTGAATATTCCCGACTGAAGGGTGTAGTTTGGACTGCTGAGACTTTCCACATAAGCCTCCTACAGGAACCTGGAGGTTGGCAACATTATTCGAGTAATCACAGGGCATAAAGCTCAGCCCTAAATAATTCCTGAATTATTTACTGCTAGGGTCTTATTTTGCTCCTGGGTGACGGCTACAAGCACTTTACATCTAAAACCCCAGAAAAAAATTTATAAACACTCATTTTTTGTTATGTACAGAATGTGGCAAGCTTCATTTGGGCAGCCAGTGCACAGAGTCACTGCCTCCTGCAGCCAGGACTGCAGATCTCACCATCGTTCCCTGCATTGCTATGGCTTTTCACTCTTGCCCTTTTGAAGTCTCATAGTATCTGGAAGAATGGGAAGTGATCTGACTTCAAGAGAGTTACTGAACGTGCTTCGATTTTTGATACAAAGTCTATTTTATAGCTACTCCACAGTAGCAAAAAACTCACCAACACTTGTAACGGAGTGCAGACACTCTCAACTTTTACTCTTGGCTGGTAACTACAGAAATTTCTGATTTAACTGCACGTGCAGCTCAGGCTCTGGACAAGTTTAGACCATTACTAATGTATGAAATGTATCTCCAAAACCTGAAAGAAATTCCGTCTCTCTCCACCTGCTTACCGTAAGTCATGTTTTATACAACCAGAGACCACACTAACTCCTTCTGTCGTATCACTCCACAATATTGAGGGCAGCTTGTTGTCTGCTACATTTTTTTCCTATCTTTTATCAACCACTTCTCTTGTTTTACCCAAGAATGAATGAGACACTGCAGATAAAATGCAAAGCAGTAACACTCTTCCAGTCTTTGGCATTCACCACACACTACACAGTTTTCCAGTTATTACCAGCAACCAGAGATCTCCAGCCAATTCTGCTATGGTTCTCAAACATTTTAAAATCCAGAATATTTTTCTATCTACCACTACTAACTGATATGCAACATATTCCTTGGTTATCATTGAGAAAAAAAAAAAAGTACTTTAATGCCCTCCTATGTTCTAAGCAATTATCCTGATTGCTTCCAAACACAGAACAGGCTTGAGCAGCAATTGCAGCGTGCAGACTGCATCTCCCCTCACATCTCCAGAGAGGGGCTCTGCACAACGGTTTCCACAGACTGGCACACTAAGGCAGCTCAACTGCACTGGAGTTGAGCTTTAGTTCATTTTGAAACGCTCTGCAACAGATCTAAGCAGTACCAGCTAGCTGCACCCCTTTGTGGCCACACTAAGAGCAGATTAAGAGGAGGGCGTGAGAAGACAATCCTCACCCTCGGAGGCTTTTCATGTTTGAAGTGTTGTTTAACAAGAGAATTAATGTGAAACGATAGCGTTTGTTTGAAGCGAGGACCTGGAGTTTCCAGTTATAACTCCTGGGGGAAACTGGTTACAGAGGAGATTTGTGTTCTGTAAACATCAGATTATCAAACTGAAAGATCTTCTCCCCTGTTCAACCTTTTTGTGTCTTATGAGCAGGCAGGTAAAAATCAATACTACACGGCAGAGATCACTCTGGCATTCAAGAAGACTTTTATCCTACATTACATAAAAGTGGAACTATGTGGTCATTATGTTAAGTCCTACAGTACCAAGAGATACAGACTCCGCCATTGCTCATCCCACTTGCATCATTTAACTTGTCCTCCTCATCCATCCCAACGCTGTGCCTTACTTTTACTCCTACTTTTTACTCAGTATCAAGTGGTAGAGCTTGTCCCTTCTGCTTCATGCAGAGAACTGCACCTAGCAATGACTCACAGCTGTGCCAACACTCAGCCTTCTCTTGCACCTACCAAGTTAACTTGGGAAAATGGTACGAAAAAGTGTATTTCCCATCTGCCTTGGGAATCTACCTTATGCATGATTCAGAGCACAAAGTATAAGGACTTTGGAGGTTCCCCTAATTCTCCTCCTTTTTGACTACAAGACTTCTGGATAAATGCCTACAGTTAGATGCTGTGAATACCCCTGAGCCTGAAAGCAGCCCCACACTGATCCAGCTGTACATACAGCTTGTTTTGAGGCGCTTAGGAACTTGCTGATAAGCACGCTCATGTTCACAAGGGCCTTTCGGTGCTCCTCTGCTCAAAGACTGCCCAAAAGTGAGGACTTCATGCAAGTCATGATGTCTGTCTGAACACCCCAGTTCCCAGGACGGCAAACAAGGAGCTCAGTGTCATCGAAATTCAACGCCCACAGGAATGAACAGGGAAACACCTAAGGCAGGTGTCAAAAAAACCACAAAAGAATACGACTTTGAAATTTCATCTCTCTCATGGGCATAACTGCTGACATATAGGTCTAGAAAGATGCCTGTTCAAAACGAGGATTCAACAGCTCTCTCATGGGTCAAGGACAGAATGGCCCCATCCCAACAGCCCTAGTAACATGAAGAAATGTGTAGACCTACACACTTAGCAAATCTGTACCTAATCCTTTACTGCTCAGTGGTTTGTCCAGGCCAGAAAAGTATCCCAAAGCCATTTTAGAAAACTGCTTGAATAAATATTAAGGGTCAGGCAAAAAGTAATGGTTTGGACTTAGCCTCCAAAGTTCCCTTGGGTGCTACAGACGTGCCTGTGATCTCAGGGACCATGTACGTATACAGTTGCACGAGGTTATAGTATGGTGCCTCTGTCACATAGTCTCTGGGCTTAAATGAACCTCATAAGAGAAGGAGAAAGTCCCCTACACTACAGTTTTCCTAGAGCAGTTACACACTTCAGTGTAAGGATGAGAACTGACACAGCCCTGTTTTTATAAGGTAATACCTAATTTACTTTGGAACAGGAGAAAGGAAACTTTAATTTAATACAATTATTAAACATCACTTTGCACTTGCACCCTCACCTATGGCACACAATTTTCCACCGCAGGCAAGCCTTTGTAATTCATAAATGATTTCCATGATGACAGAACAGTCAAATGGGTGCAAACCTAGAAGGCTGGGGTTTTGTTTGTTTGGTTGGGGTTTTTTGTTTGTTGGGTTTTTTTTTTTTTTTTCCTAAACAGCCTTATAAATGTTGTTAGATAGAGATAAAAAGGCAGTTTGTACAATTCCCTGAGCAGTTCATAATTCTGCCGTCATCACTGCTTCCCTAGGTTTTTGTATTGGGATTACTTTTAGATTGTGCTTAAATCATTGGCATCTCCATACAATTCTTAGAAAGTGATTTGGCATTTCTTAAATTCTTTTGAGAACTCTCAACTCCACAGCCACAGATCAACGTTGTTGCTTGAACAAGAAAACAACACATATGTGTCTAATCCTGTCCTCTTAAGTGTCTGATTTACAATGTGGCTAATTGCATTTTAAGATTCCCAACACTCCTGGCACCAATTTCTGCTACTCCACAAAAGGAGCCAGTTTCATAATTACTCTGTATCAACCCCATTGTTGGGAAATCAAATTCTTGAGAAACTTTATGGATAGCACGCTCTGTCAAGGCCCTCTTGTTGAAATTGCTGCCAGCATGATGCCTTTCACTGTTAGTTGTTCCTTGATGGAATTTAATAAATATTCATTGGCAGAGTGCCGTGTAATTGATTCAGCCACTTTCATTTTTTTATCAGCCCTGCAGGATGCCACAGCCTCTGCAGAAAATCTCCAAGATTTGCCAAAGGTTGACAGTAAGAAGCTTTGGAGATTCACTTGGTGAAGAGAAGGGAGGGAAACACTGTGTCTTATCGCCGTGTCTAATAGTCACTGTCAGGAGAAAAATGCTATCTGGTTCTTCGGATGAGCAATGTGCCTTATATAATGCGCTTTAAAAATTCATAAAGTGTAATGTTAAATGAGATCTTATGATATCAAAAAGGTTTATGATTAGAGAGTATCAATTTGTACTGAAAAATGCTTTCCAACAAAAATCAGGATACATTACATTAATATTTATTTCTGTTTATTATACAGAAGGTTTTCCACTACTCATAAATAGTGATTTACATTTACTTTCGGTGTTCACCATGCTAGGTACCAGAAGCCTCATCCCTTTGAACTCTTCATAAAGGTTTTTAACTCCCCCTACAGCATCCACACCTATACTGCGTTACATTTAGCAGTACTGGAAGTCTACGTTTAAGCAAACATTGCATTTCTGCAGTCCTGTTCATGAAATCACAGGAGCTTTTTTGAAGAAAGGATCAGAGTTGACTTTTCATCTAATACATCTCCATTAAAAAGCTATCAAACTGCAATATGTATGTATTAATATTAAAATGCAGTATGTATTTAACGTATTTTCTGCATAAAACACCAGTTTTCTGCTCTCAATAGGGGCTACATATATGTAGCTTCCTAGAATCAGACTTTGCATTTCATCTTACTGTTTCTTTCAGTTGCCTTTCAAACGTGCTTCATCTTCAGACCTCGTGTAGGTAACCGCCCTACTGCTTGAATCCAATTAGCCTATTAGCATAACCATCTCCTCGCTGATTTTCCACCCAGTTTTCTAAGAAATCCTGTAGTGGCACAAAAAGGAGCATATAGTGCCAGGCTCTGCACCCACCAGAATGGTTTTGGTGAGCATCTAGTTTAAAAAATATATACTATAGATCTAATTCTCTGCTTGTAGACACCAATGCAAAAAAAAAAAAAAGTAACTACAGTGAATTAAAGAGACTGGCAAAAGTGTTAAAATCAGCCATGCTGGCAAACTGAGGTGCACGTCACATCTGTTTCTTTTCGGTACGGTTATGTCAAATTTACTTCTATTATGAGACAATATGAAACAAAACAAAAAGTTCTAAAAGCTTATTATCCTTTTCTCCCTTTCTCTTTTTTGTTGTTCACTTACTGGAATGCCGGTGAAGGTAACAGGAGGCGACTGCCAAGAGATGCTAAAGCTACTGCCATTGGGAGTGAATTTTGCTGACCCTGGAATGTTCACCGGAGGAGTGGCCTGTGTGAAAAGAAAATATTACTCCAGTAAGAAGAACCATTCCTCTTCCAAAGCATTTTCAGCAATCTTTCACTCCTTGAAACTGTAAATCTATGAGGCACTTTCCGAGGCGGAAAAAAATGCATGGTGACAAGCATTTTACCCTTATGAGAGGGATAATCATGGATAAGCCACTAAGGAAGGGACATATTTATATATCACTGGTCTTAAAATCTTGTTTACAGAAAGGTGATAGCTCTCACAAGAATCCACGCAAATCCCTTGAAAGCTAGATCTGATGAAAACCCGCACAAAATCGAACATCATACACAAACAACTTTTAAAATACTGCCAGCTAGCAGCAAAAAACATTACAAATGATCGCCCATTCCACAGCGATAAACAAGGCGGTATTTAAACTGGTAGCAGCTGGTTTAAACCACTGAGGACCGGTTGGCGAGGCCTCTTGTACAACAGGGTTAACAATCAGCAGTAAGGGCTGGCCATTTCTTGGGTATCACATAAACGCTGTTAGGAATCATCCCAATTAAAACAGTCTTTCCTATTAAAAACAAGGAGCTGAAAATCATCCTTGGGATCCAAAAAACAGCTCTTAAAAGACTAAGCTAAAGCAAATATTTGAAGGACCCTTGGGCCCTTGAACTCTCATGTTCTCCCTGTCTGGGCTGTAATACCAGTGCTGCCCTGGGGTGCAATACCCAACAATCTGAGCTCAAGCCGTCGAGCACCTTTCATCTTGTGCCTTCCCTCTGGGTTTCTTGCTGGGCTATGAGCCCTCAGGAAGTCTTCCCTGCCCCTTTTTGGATCCCATTTCATTTACAGCATCAGAAAATTCATACCTTTGCAGTTACCCTGCTTAGCAGGAGCACGAGCAGCCACCATGAACCCATGCTCCCTTCAACTCTTGAATTTCAAGCTTTCCCCACAAAACAAAGGCTCCTTGGTTTAAACTTAGAAAGAACATGCGACTAAAAATAAACTTTTACTTCTGCCTCTCAGTTGCCTGTGCCTGACAATAACACAATACACTTACTTAAGCAGCGTTTGTGTTTGAGGCTGATGAAGTTGTCTCTCTGCTCCAGGGAAGACAGCGCTTCCCTGAGCCGCCAGGCAGAGAGGAGTGATGACAAACTACAACCTGGTAGTCCCCATTAAAGATAATCTTCAGAGCAAACAAGTGCTGAAGCAATCCCCTGGAGTCTCTCCAAGGAAAAGAAACCAAGACCACCGGATGCCTCCATCTATGGCAGCGCTGCTCTGCGGGCTGCTGAGCCCACTGACACCTCCAAGGAAATCCACACAGGCATGCGGAGCAAACATCCACCGAGCTCCATAAAATATAAAAACCTCACTGAAAGGCATCAGGAAAAATTTGGCAACTCCAGATGCTACCAGTAGTGCTTCACCACAACCCTGTTCAAACAGGAAGGAATGTGTGGCCACAGCACTCCTGCCAGGAAGAACTGGAGGCAGCTGGGTGGGCAGCGAGGTGGCACGGCCTCCGCTCAGCATCCTACCGGGACATCAGCTCAAAGCTGGGGTCAGCACAGCGACTTCCTCAGGTACTTGAATAAGACCCGCAAGGGAAATCCTAGATGCTCAAAGAGCCTGCCTGTAGTTCCTCTGCAGCTAAGTTTAACAGGTACAGGCACTAGTTTCATAATGAAACGTGAAGTAGGAGAAGTTTAAAATTGCTGTAATTTGCAGTTACCTAAAATACCACGGTGCTCAATTCTTTCTTCTCAGTGCCTAAATATCCACCTCAGATATGATCAGACTCAGACAGTCAATCACCTTGTTCATTTGCTTCCCAGACATGCACCTTTGCTTATCAAGCACAGCCACCTTTTTCAGGCTAACACCTTAGACAATCTCGTCCATAAGGTAACCATAATGATACAATGAACTGAAGAGTTTCTATACCCCAATCTCACTTTGCTTACAGACCTCCATCTAATTTCCAATCAGCTCCAGGCTGAAAATTTTTTTTTCCCTTCACAGCTCTATGGTTGTTGGCTCAGTCATTCTGTGCTTCATTAATGAACACAGGTTTCCTCCTCACATAATTTTCTAACTACCCCAGTTTATAGCAGAAAAATCTCATTAGTTCCTAAGATGCAGGACTTTGCATGTTCTGCCATTAAAATTGCATCCGAAACCTATTATTCTTCAGATGACCCAGTCATGTAAGCATGATATATAAATCCCTGTACTGCTGACATCTCCTGAGTTCGTTATCAGCAAAGTTTATTATAGTATTTCTGCAGTACCAAAACGATTTAATGAAAATGAGATCAGGCCCAAACCCAGCTTTTCATTGATCTCCACTAGTAACATTCAATAGCCCTTTCAAAATAACTCACTGCTGTTCTCCCTGACTCCCCAGCTCTCTCTCCTACACTAAAATTAATCTCTAGCCTAACAAATACTGCCTATATATTTTAAGATCAAATGCTCTCCTTGAATCCAGAGGGATTTGTTCTTCTTTGGGGTTGCTCCACTGCAGCTCACCTCATTTGCTGTACTTTCCACAATTTCTTCAATTATTCTTCTAAATCTTTCCTCATCCACAGGACTGGGTCAGAGAAGAGAGTCAGGACTTTCCTGATCGCTTGCCCTTTACTCCTTTGTTACTACACGCATTGTAATTTGTCATTTTCCAGTCACATGGGAAAGGGCAGTTCACAGGTCTGTTTAGGATTCTTGCAACTCAGCTTTGGTTACATATTTTTTTCCCATTTTTAGCAGGAATCCTGGGATGAACATTATTCAGCCTCCCTTAGCCGAGTTCCTTGAGCTGTGAATTTTGCTTCTTCGCTCCCAGTGAAGTAATTTCCACCTTCGTGCTCTTATTCATATGAGAGACTGTCTTCATCACTACATTCCCATTCAATACTTTGTTTCAGTTTTGATACTGATGATATCCAAAGTAAAGAAAGTTTCAATATTCTGTACATGGCTCACTCCAGCCAGCAAACTGCAGGAAATACGGTGGTATTAAAGATGTTGTTGTCACCTTCTCTTCTACTCCCTTTTACACAACAGATCAGTTGTAACGGTATGAGTGAAAGCTGGGCTCAATCTCTCCTCTTGCTGGCAAGAGTTGAATCTCCACCTTGCCTCCTGGAGAGCGCTCTTCTTGCTGGGCTAGAGGGACTCCAGCACAGGAAACCACTGACCTGCCCTGCAGAAGCTGCTGCCTTTGCAAGGACAACCTGAATGCCTGAGCAGGGAACCTGCCTCCTGCTTCTAACTAGAGAGCCTTGAATGGTGTGGATTGTGCCACTCCTCGCTGATGAAATGAAGGGTTGAAACCAGAGCAACTTGAAATGGAGACAGAGCTCGGACACTTCTAGTCTCGTGTTGTGGAATACATCAATCCAAATCCAATTCAAACAGTTTAAACATTTGAACTAGGATTTCCTTAGGCAAATGCTTTACTCAAAAGCTGCTTATAAAAAAGGATTAAGTGAGTCTCCAAAGACGGTCAGGACTACAAATCCCAAATTAAACGAGACTCTTTCAGAAGTCTAGACTTAGTGCCTCACTTTCTGAGAGCCAGGGCTTAAGCTAGACTGAGAAGAAAC